CTCCTGGGAAGAAAAAGATTAATGTTAAATGTTATTAGGAACCCTGGATTAAGTTATTATTCTTTGAGATCTTCTGTCAAAAGCAGGCATTAAAGATTGAAGAAAAGCTCATCATAATGGAAAGGGGAATCTTGGTGAATGATTGGAGCTAAGTACCTTCGAATGCTGGAGAAGAATGATTATGGCAAAGTGGGTGTTGGAGGCTCCACCCCTCAGGTGCCAGCTGCCTTAACAAGATATAGGTGTAGGGAACACTCTGAGCATGTGAACATGAACTAAAACAGTGGTGACCTTAGAACCCAGTACCAAAGTTCAACATATAGAATAAACTCTTATCTTATTGTTTTATTTCCATGTGCCTTTCATTTATGGAAAAAACTTTTTTGGCATCCTAACAAGGTTTGGATCAAGTGATTAATGTGATCATATTTGTACTTGATGGTAATAAAGAGGGTCTTACCAATTATATCTAATTAACAGGTCTGAGCAGATAATCTCTTAGATTTCTTCTAGTTGTAAAGTGTTACTATTTTATTATGGAATGAGAGTAACTTGTCGCTAATTTTAAATCAAAGCCATACATTCCTGAACAATAAAATTTTGATTTATTTTATAGTACTTGTCACAAAAAGTCTTGAACACTTGGGATGTTCAGATAATTAAAGAGCAAATGCTAACAAAATGATAGCTTGTTATTTGATCCTTGACATGTTGTACTTGTACTTTCATTTTCACCCTGGATTTCTCAGCGCACATTTCTAGCCATGCTTGAGGTATGCCTTGAAAAAGGCAAAGACACTAAGTGTATGTAAATATTTATTCAAATTCAAAGAGAGAGAGAGAAAGAGCATCTTACTGTACTATTAACTTATTTATTAGGTTTATCTTAATATTTTACAGGGTAAGCTCCATGAAGGCAGAGATTTTTTGTTTTTATTTTTGTTTTGTTCATTAACATATAACAAGCACTCAGAACAGTGACTAGAACAAAAGAGGTGCTCAAAAAATACTTGTTTAACAAAAAAGCTACATTTAAATTACAAAATGCTACAAAAAAACTCTTAGAGTTGATAAATGATTTCAGCAAAGTTGCAGGATATAAAATCAGCACATAAAAATCAGGAGCAGTTCTATACTCCAGCAGTGAACATGCAGAAAAAGAAATCAAGAAAGCTAGCCCATTTACAATAGCAACCAAAAAAATAAAATACTTAGGAATAATGTTAATCAAGGATGTGAAATATCTCTACAAAGAGAAATAAAAACCAGTGTTGAGAGAAATTAAAGAGGATATAAGAAGATGGAAAGATATCCCATGCTCTTGGATCAAAAGAATTAACATTGTGAAAATGTCCATATTACCCAAAATGATCTACAGATTCAGTGCAATCCCCATCAAAATTCCAACGACAATTTTCTCAGAATCCAGACATTTATATGGAATGACAAAAGACCATACATAACCAAAGCAATACTGAGCAAAAAAAATAAAGCTGGAGGTACAACACTACCTGACTTTAAACTATATTACAAAGCTATAATAACCAAAACAGCATGGTACCGGCATAAAAACAGACACATGGATCAAAGGAATAGAATAGAGAATCCAAAAATCAACCCATACACCTACAGCCATCTGATCTTTGACAAAGGCACCAAGTCTACACACTGGGGAAGACACTGCCTCTGCAGCAAGTGGTGCTGGGAAAACTGGATATTCATATATAGGAAAATGAAACTAGACCCATACCTCTCACCATATACCAAAATCAACTCAAAATGGATTAAAGAATTAAATATACATCCTAAAACAATAAACTCCTTAAAGAAAACATAGGGGAAACACTCCAGGAAGTAGGACTGGGTACAGACTTCATGAATATGACCTCAAAAGCATAGGCAACCAAAGGAAAAATAAGCAAATGGGATTATACCAAACTAAAAAGCTTCTGCACAGCAAAAGAAACAATTATCGTAGTTAAAAGACAACCAACAGAGTGGAAGAAAATATTTGTAAAATATACATCTGACAAAGGATTAATATCCAGAATATAAAAGGAACTGAAACAACTTCACAGCCAAAAAACAAGTAACCCAATTAAAAAATAGACATTTCTCAAAGGAATATATATGAATGGCCAACTGACACATGAAAAAATGCTCAACATCACTCAGCATTCAGGAAAAGCAAATCAAAACCACACTGAGATACCATCTCACTCCAGTTAGGATGGCTAATATCCAAAAGACTGTGAATGATAAATGCCGGTGAGGTCGTGGAGAAAAAGGAACCCTCCTACACTCTTGGTGGGACTGCAAAATGGTGCAGCCTTTATGGGAAATGGTATGGAGGTTCCTCAAACAATTACAGATAGATCTGCCATATGATCCAGCTATTGCACTGCTGGGAATATCCCCAGAGGAATGGAAATCATCAAGTTGAAGGGATACCTGTTCCCCAATGTTCATTGTAGCACTATTTACAATAGCCAAGAGTTGGAACCAGCCCAAATGTCCATCATCAGATGAGTGGATATAGAAAATGTGGTATTTCCACACAATGGAATACTACTCTGCTATAAAAAAGAATGAAATACTACCATTCGCAGCAACATGGAGGACTTAGAAAAAATTATATTAAGTGAAATAAGACAGGCACAGAAAGAGAAATACTTCATGTTCCCACTTATTTGTGGGAGCTAAAAATAAATAGATAGATAGATAGATAGATAGATAGATAGATAGATAGATAGATAGATAAATACACAAACAAACGGTGGAGGTGGGAGGTGGGGAAGAAGACACAACAATCACAACTCCTTGAACTTGTTAAGACAAATACACAAACAAATGGTGGAGGTGGGAGGTGGGGAAGAAGACACAACAATCACAACTCCTTGAACTTGTTAAGACAAGTGAACAGATATGATGTTGATGAGTTGGGGGGAGAGAGAGGGGGAAGGGGAATCAGTAAAGGGACACAAAAATCAACTACATTGTATACGATAAAAAAATTCAATTGTGCAAAGTCATTTTTAAACAACATATGTAGAACTAAATTAAATAATATATGTAAAACAGCACTGTGTTTGGCACATAGAACTAAAATAAAATAATATTGTTAATGATAAAAAAATTGGAAATTTACACTCTTTGTTCCATATTTTTTTCTATACTTCATTCTTTAAGAGACTCCTATTATGTGTATATAAGGCACTGGCAGTTGTTTCACAGCTGACGGAAATTTGGATTTCCCACCTCCCTCCCCTCCAAACCTCTTTCTCCACCACACACACTAAAACGATGTGCTGTATACAAGAGACATCTAAAGCAAAGGGTTCCAGAAGGAGTAACATAGTGGGCATATATTACTTGGCAAGTACAATGTGGACATATTGTAATGGGAATAGGTACAAGGCTCAATAAATAGCTCTCATGAATTTTTAAGCTTTAAATAAAAATAGTACTAGCAATCAGAAAGCAAAACTTTAGGGATACAGGGAAATAAAGAACAATAACGGCAGTAGGAGACTTTAACAGCTCTCCCAGCCTGTGACTGAAGGAGATAAAGGTAAAGATATAGATTATGTAAACAGCATAATTAACAAGGTAGTCCCAATAGGTATATAAGTATATCCAACTTTACATGTTTCGACCAGAATTTGCAAATTTCTTTTCATTGGCCATGGAACATAGATAAAACTGACCATATACTAGTCCACCATGAAAAGCTCAAAATATTACAAAAACCCAGAAATGTATAATCCATATTTTTTCAACATTTAGGAAAGTTTTTACTAGATTAATACGGTATATCTTCTTGCACATTATTTTTACTTGAGGGTATAAGTGATTTAAATAATTCTTTTTGTATTAAAATACCTATCAGATATATAGAAGAATAAAATATATGTTACAAAAAATTTTAAAGGTAAAGCAGAAGACTCGAAGACACTGCGTTTAATAGGATGACTTTGCTCTGTCTCATCTCCCCCCAACCCTTCATTCCTCTCTGTTGTTAGGGTAATTGGGCCCAAAACTTTGATAAAAATTATGAAGATATTTCTTTTCACAGTTTAGTGAAATCTACAGTCAGTGAATTAAATAACTAAGATGGAGTTAATAGGCTTAAAGCATCATCCCCCCTTCCCACCTTTTGCATGGGAAATTAATAACTACTGGCCTATTCTAGACCCAAAGGAATTTCTCCTGTGATGGTATTTAAGGCCCTGGGACAGGTCTTTAGGGAAAGATTTTTGGAAAGTGGGCATGCCCTCATTTTTTTCAGGGCAAAGGAAACTGCCTGTTCAGCTACACTCTGAGCTTCTCTGGGTAAGTGCTGTGTCTTACTTTTGTGTCCTCACTACTGGGCTGAAGGCTTGATCCACAGTAGGTGCTCCTTAAGTACATATTGGATACAGAATATAAACTTCCTCTTACCTGCAGCCAGGTAAGACAGATTTAGGGACATTGAAATTCCTCTCTTCTATCAAGACTCAGCTCTGACCCTTAGGGCAGTGGTCAGTGGAATATTTCTACTCACTGAAAAAATTCAGTGTATTCTCATGTGCTCTATTTTGGCCTGGGCTCTATGGCTAGGGTTGCCCCTCCTTCTGGTGTTCAGAAGATTCTATGTGGAGGGTGAATGAGAGGGTGCCAGTGGCTCTAGCATGCAGCAGGCATTCAGGAATGGATTTGACACCTGCTGTTCATCTTTGCTTCCTTTGTCTTTTTTCTTGTTTGAGGAAAGTTCAACAGGAGAAAGAAGGAAGGAATAGTGACATAATTTCAGAAAAGGATCTTTGGAATGTATCCTGAAGCTGCACATCTCCAGATATTCTCTCCTATGGGCAGGGCCAACAGGCACAATGAAAGGGCGGAGTGGTCAGTGTGCTCCAAGGATGAGTGGAGGTAAAGACCTGAAGAAAAGTGATGTCCCTTAGAAAAACATGGGTGAAAACTGTCTACTGACTCAATTTAAAAGATCATTCATAAGAAACTTATTTGAGAATTATTTTATTAAGAAATATATAGTGTCAATTTCAAAGGACCATGTACATTTTCAAAAGTGATCAGAAAATAAATTAAAGATACATTCTATAAATTTAATATACATATATATATATATATATATAGTAGCTGTAATAAAGGCACTTCTTCAGAATCTACTTGCATGTCAGATAATTTTTAAAACTTGGCTTAGAATACTTTCACAATATTTTGCTTGAAAATTCTTTCAAATTGCTTCACGATACATACAACTATTTGTGCACTCTCTTTTGCTTTCATTTCCTTCTTTTGTAAATATTTAATATGAGAACACACGCAGTGTCATTACATGTAAAAGAAATGCCTGCCTTGTAAACAGAGGTTTAGATGCTATCACTGAGTTCAACTTTTTCTCCTTTTTCAAGGAAGTTCTTCTTTCTTACTTCCATGAAGCCAGTCATCGATATTATAGAAGTGTCTCCTGACATTTGAGGGATAGTACTTCCTCCACATTAAAAACATACATTAAACAATTAAAATTTACAAAAATAAGTTAAGAAACCCTTCTGTAATCAAAGAATAACTATTGGTAGTCTTTTAAAAGTCACCGTGAGTTACTTTTTCATCTACTTAATGAAGATGATTTACTTTGGTGCTTCGAGATATGACTGTAATTTAGATGGTTTCTTTTGTTTCCTTTAATTCGACTGAAACGACGCCACAATCCTAGTAATTGCGAGGCTTGCTTCAGGCATTTGTTTGTTGTGACTTCTCTTTTCTTTCTATTCTTCTTTGCCTGGGTATTATTTATCTGTAGAATAGGAGAATCAATAGTCAAAATTAAGTTTCTCTAACTTTAACAATTGTTGAGTAACAGGTTATATTATTTTCTCTATGCAACTCCATCTCTTAACATATCCCCAAACCACCTGCTTATTGTATACTAATCTGTACTTTCTCCAGAGGAATGCCCTCCTGTCTCTCCAGCCATTTACTCTGGCTTCAAGGTCAAGCACCTCCCTCACAAAGCCTCTGCTAATTGCTCAGACCTTTCTTTTGGAAACTCTTAGTGTTCAAGAGTGTTTGTCATTTAACTTGGCTGCCACTTACATGATGTTCTTATTATTGCATCATGGGTATTCCCCATAGTGCTGAGCACAGCATCTTATGCATAGGAAACACTGAATATTTATTGAATGATTAAATGAATGAATAAATTGATGATTTCATGATCTCCCTGACAAATTCTTCAAAGGCAGGACCTATCTTCAGACTCTTTATAGATATAATTCAGTAAACCTAGTCTATTATTTGGACCCAAAGTGCTCCTGCTCCTTCCCACCACCTACATGTGCCACAGACACCTGAAGACTTATTCTGAAGAGGATTATGCTGTATTCCTTCACCTGAATTACCTTTCAGTAGTGGCAGACTGGGCCTACTAGACACATGGTATTTAGACTGATAAAGTTTGTTGAGTTACCAAGCAAAGATCTTACAGTCTAAAATCTGATATATCATTATTAAGTATTATTGGTTTTAGACTTCCCTTTTGGGCTTGGGAGGAAACTGAAATAAATTTCTCCAGATTCTTCCTTTCTCACATGCTGTCCAAGAACTTGATCTAGCCTGTCCTCTGAGCTCTTCTTATATAGATAAATTTATTATGGCCATCTGTAGATTTGCCAGGGTCTCCTTGATAATAAGGCATAGAGCCAAACATCTTTCTCATATGGCTGCCTGGTATCGAGTTTCTAACTCAAGCTCAGTACGGATCAGCCCTATGGTTTCAATCCTCAGCCTCTAAAAAATGACATTCTTAACCATCCAGACACTCAGATCTCAGATTGATAAAGTACATCAGGTTAATAAGCAGCAATCACATGTATCTGCACTTGTCTCTGTCTTTCTTAAACTTGTTATCATGAAAATAAATTCTCTAGTTTAATTACCAGATAAATAAATATTTATTGAGTACATGTTATGTACTGTGCACTGTTCCAAGTGTATTGACTCATTTAATCCTCATAAACATCCTGTATGGGACTTACTACTATGATCCTTATTTTTGCCATGAAACCAAGGCACACCGAGGCTAAGTAACTTATCCAAGACTTCACAGAAGTTGCTGGGCTAGGATTCAAAAGCAGGCTGTTTCCAGAGTTCCTACTCACAACTGTCCACTATACTGTGTCCATATTTAAAGTTACACATTCATTCAAATGCATGTAACCACATATGCACAAATCTATTATGTAAAGAGACAGTAATAGCACCCATACAAGCAATTAAGCAAACACAGGGTAGAGATTTACTGTGTAATGTAACATTAGCAGAAAGAGGCCTACAATTTTTAAGTGGTAAGTCCAAGCAGTGTTGCTCAAACTTTGAAATGGACTGTAATCTCTTAAGGAGCTTCATCCCAGAGCTTTTGATTTTGAAAGTCTGCGTTGGATCCCTAGGAACTGGCATGTTGAACAGTCATCTTCCCATGCTCTAGAAGCCAGAACATTCTGATGTAGGAGCCTCAATGATCGTACCTTGAAACACTGACCTAAGGACTAGAACCATAATTCAGCCAATATTTATGATTCAGAATCAGAACCCTAGAAATAGGTGGGCTTGGGTCCGGTTGTCAACGTGGGACTAATTGACAACTTACAGCTTTTACCTGGCTAACTTGCTCTTCAAAAGATAAAATCTGAATAAAAATCACAGAACGACTAATTCACTAAAGCCCCAGGTTAACTCGTAGTCAGCTCCAAGGTATTACAAAGCGAGCGTCCGATGCATCTGGCTTACCTGAATTCCGGAGTAGCCTGGGCACTGCAGAGTAAGGGTAGCCTTAGTTTTCACGGCAAACATTTCCTTGTGGAGTGACGTGCAGCCGTGGGTGGGACTGAAAGTAACGCGCTGGATTTCAGTGAGGCAATCTGGCTGCTCACAGGCGGCAGAAAGAGAAAGGGGGAAAAAAAGGGGGAAGAGCGTTGGTAAGAATTGAGTGAAAGAGGCAGGCAGCGGGGGCGGAGGAAGAGCCGGATGCACACAAAGATGTCTCAAGAGCGAGGAGGTCACGGTAGAGGGGTGGGAGCAAGAACGAAGCCAGCAGAAGGGGCGTTGCGAGAGTAGCAGAGGGCGCTGAACCAGAAAGGACCGTCGCCCACGCTCGCCCCGCCCAGGGCTCCCGGCCGGGGAGAGTGCCAAGAGCTCCGGACCTCGGGAGGTGGTGCCCCTGACATTGTTCTCCCGTCTCAGTTCCCCATTTGCCTTTCCTTGAGGGTGTGTGTGTGTGTGTGTGTGTGTGTGGCCGGGGGCAACCTCTCTTGGAACCCCGGCTCGGTCTCTCGAGACACTTCCTCCCTCGAAACTGGAACAGAAGTGCTGTCTCAAGCTGGATCCAGCCCCGCGCTGGCGGCGCGGATGTCCCCAACCGGCTGGTGTCGCCCCGGAGCCCAGCCACCGCCTGGAGTTCTACGCTCTGCAGGATCCCCCTCCCTGCAATGCCTGGCTGAAAGCCGGCAGCACTGACCGCTTCACTCACCGGGTTGTTACAGGAGATGTTGTAGTTGAACTGGGTGCTTTTGGTCTGGAAGACAGAAAAAAACCAAAAAACAAAAAACGATAAGAAGGGTAAAACCTTTTAAATCCACAGGAAAAATCATTCTCCCGCCCCTTGCTCCCATGCTTTAAAGGTGCTCTGAAAGTAGTTTCCACTGAGGTACTTGTTTCCTATGTCATTGACAAGGCAGCGAAACAATTTAGTCTTCAGATGGTGCTGGCTGATGTTTGAAACCAGACAGGAGAGGGTCTGCGTCTTAGAGGGAGTCTTCCCTTCCCACCTGCCCCCAAGCAGGCACACCTGCACAGGGGACTACACATGTGAGCAAAAAGGCCATTTTGAGCAATAATGCCACTTCTTAAATGTCCACATCTGCCCTGTAGCCACTCATGCATTTCACACAGGCACACTCTATCCAGAAGTTTAAATAATCAGGAAAGTGTTTACTATTGTGTACTAAAAATATCAAAGCACACCATGTTCCATAATAGCATCCTGAAAAATCTAGGACACCGGAAAGACCAAAACCGCAGCTTCTGTCCTTAGCCGTCCTCACTCACAAGAATTCCCTCTCTTTGTACCACCTTCTTTCTGAAGCCCTTACCCACTCTTTTTACTGTGTAGCCAGAGTAGCACTTTAGCAGAGGGTGAGCACCCTTGATGCTACCTATCCATACCTGCTCATTAGCATCCACGCACTTAGAATACACTAATTTCTACATAGTCATTGTAGATGCCAATATATTTGAATATCACTTGTAAAAATTTTTGACAAAATGCTGGGTCATGACTTTGTCCAAAATTGTTTTTCTTTTCTTGAAAGTTAAATTGTAGTTTGTATGTCTATATGCCTACCCTTCCAGTGAGAGAACATTTGTTTTTTAAAAAATTTTCTTCACTTACCCCATTCATATATTTCTTCAGGTCACTAAAAATGATTTGGTCATACTCCACTCTAATTTTGTTAAAGTCACAGTTAGAGAAGTTGTAAGTTAGCACCAGCCCTACTAGTTGCAAGATGAGGATCTTCCTGAAAAAAACTGACAGAACAAACAGTAAGGCATTGGGCAATGCATTGGAAACCCAGTGCCAACCCAGTTTCACACTAAACTCTCCCCACCAAGACTAAATGGCCTCTAGATCCGCACACCCTGCCTTAGGGCCAGTGCTCAGGCACCAGTCTTGTCCTCTCATCCCCAGTCCATAGGAGGTGCATATTCACCCATGCTGTTGTCTTAAGTTGGAGTCTCCCTGATGCTCCAGAGATTTTTGGCTCCACATATATAACACTTGAACGCCTACGGGCTCTTTTCTCCTAGGCCAATGATTTTCTTCCATGTCATTCCCTTCCTTTATAGAATTCTGAATTGATGATGTAAAAGAAAAAAAAAAAAAAAAAGACTAGCCCAATCTATGGAATTTTAACATTAGTAAAATCATCAGGAATTTCCCTCACCATCGTCCTTTTATCTTTGCCCTAAACCCTTGATATGTACTTGAGTGTACTTTAAGAAATGAATATCTGCATCTTTTTCCTATGGGGCAGTTTCCATGACCGACTCCTTCTCTTGGGAAAAACACTCTCTGAAACCAGCAGCCACCCTAAGGACTTGGTACAGCTGCCCGTGCATCTGTGTATTTCTGAGCATTTCCATTGGCTACTTTCCACTAGTGTTTTCCCTTCTCTTTGGCTACTGATACGCTTATTTATGAAATGTTTCAGAGGATGCGTGCAGCCTCAGGCTTGGGAGGCGCTTCCACGTGAAGGCGTTAAATGTGCTATGCTGACCAGACCCTTAGGGGTGGGAACAATAAGACGTTGGAATGAATGGGAAAAGATCAGATGAGCCTCGTCCTCAAAATCCCTACTTTCCAAAGCGCCGATATTAATTTCTAGTATCTATTCTCAGTGACTGGGGGCGCCTGAGGGGCCGAAGTCTCCTTTAGCACGTTCTGTCAGGTGTTAAGAATTTTTAAAATCGCAAAGTTCAGCGCCCAGCAGACTTCACCGCCCTGTTCTGGAGGCCAGCGTAAGCGTAAGGGAAGCGGGGCCAGACCGCGCCTGCCTCCTGGTGCGCGGCGGCGAGCGCGCGAAGATGCTGTCCAGCGCGAAGCTCTCCCTCGGCGGCGCACGCTTCTGTGCGCCCTGCATCCCGGGCGCTTAGCCCCGCGCAGCGCAACCTGGACAACTTCGGTCACCTTGGACCCGAGCCCGGGCACCGGTTTTAGGGACGGGAGAAGCAGCGAGATGGTGGGCTAGGATTTGTACTCGCAAATCCTTGATCCAAAAAAGGGGTTAGTTTAAGCGCAGCCAGGCGCGTCAGGGAGAGTGCGGAGGGGATGTCTAGCAGCCTTTTGATCTCAAGTGGCGCTAATAGAGGGCTGAAGGGAGGGAAGGCCGACACCGATCCGGCTGCTAGGAAGAGCCCCGCTCTGTCCGAGCTTGGCCCGCGCCGCCCCGGGCCCTCCTGACACCCCACTCCCATCTTTCTCTTACCCACCTTGCGTTTAAGAGCCTGCATCGCCTTGGTCCTTGGGAAGTTCCTAGGAGTCATCGCCGAGAGCCTCCGAGGTTGGGCACCCCACGTGAATCCCAGCAAATGTCACAGGCCATGCAGCAGCTGGGAATGAGAGCAGGGAGTGGCGAGGGATGCGGGAAAAGCACAGACTGTGGGGAAAAGTCCAGCCAGAGGTGAACTTGCTTTTCGTAGAAGGCGCTCAATCAACAGCTGTATCAGTACAGCTGGACCTAGTTCGCTGGTGCTAGGACTAGGACGGGGGTTATGACAATAATGGGAATGTGGGAAAGCCTCTGAGTCACCGCTGACTTCAAAGATGGGCTTTTGGGGCCAAGTCCTGGACTTAAATCATGACATCATACTTCGGAAAAGAAGTTCCCCTGCTCTGGGCCCATCTTCTATCACCAGCTTCTCAGGGTATTGTGGGATAATGCCAAAGTCTGATTCATCTGTTGTGACATCAGAGATGATTCTCGTTGGCAGCTGGACACTGGATTGGCAGACAGAGCTAGAGACCCAGATTTCTTCACTGGGTTGGAATAGCTCCAAGGGACAAAGAAAAGGGCATGAGGGCTGCTTCTGCCACCCTCAGCTCACATGTCTTTCCCTTTAGTGGCTTGCTGCAGGGTCAGAGAGTGTGTGTGAGTCCCCACTAGAACCTCCAGCCACATCTCTTGATTGCTGATGGGGGCAGGGCCGGCAGAAAGCAGTCCCTGCTGAAGTTCTATTTGCATTCTTCTTATAACCAGGCCGCCTCCTTTCCTTCCTTTCTTCCTTTAAAACATTGTGTCTACGATCTGTATCTCTGTAGCGCTCTTTGTAGAGGTGAGGCAGGCAGGGTGCCTCCTCCTCCAGCATCCTGGAAGGTGTCTCTTCACTTGTTAAACACGTTGCTAAACACTTGTCCCTGTGGCGTCCAATTTTCTTATCTGTAATTACGTGACCTCTCCAATCACTTTAATTGTATCACTTTTCTGCTCCAAAACTTTTGGTAGACTTGCAGTTGCTTTGAGATTTACAATCGTCCCTCCACTGTTGACTAGAAGCTCTTTCCAGCCTTATCTCCTTCATTCTCCTAGGCTTCTGCCAATGAGTATCTGAAGGTAATTTGCTCTAAACATGCTTTCTTCTTCTCAACTTCACACCCCCAGGTGTGAGCTTTCTCATGTCACTCAGTGCTCATCTTATTTAACATCTCCTCCAAAAGTTGTCCCCTACGTAGATGTGACCTTGCTATCTTTTAAATCATATTTATTTTGGACTTCCTTGTTATGGTTTCCATAGGTTACAAAATATGTCAATGATGTTCTTCAACCTTATCTTGTTTATTAGATTGTGAGTTAACAGCTGAAAAGGTTTTATAATAATTGATTTGTTCAGTATCTATTTACTTTTTCCAACAGCATTTGAAGTGACTTCCAAACGCATTGGTGCCCAAAGGTAGAAAACAGCCAAAGGAATGGAACCAAGGAATAAAGGAGGTGAGGATTAGGTGCAGAGAAGGCCATAGAAAAGCACTCTTAAGAGTTGGAGAATTAATACAATTGAGCTCAAAGTGAGTTCTGAGCTTTCAAAGAACTACAACAAAGGGCAGACTATCATGGGCACTCCAGCATATAAATTCATTAGGGGAAGTCAAGTTTTTTTTAGGCCTGTGGTCATCACCACAACCACTGTAAGGCTCAGTCTTATGTATTATGTGTATAATAGATACTCAATAAATCATCAATAGGTTGAAGCATATTAACCTTCTATGAAGATCATTGTGAGGATGACAACTACTTCCTAATGAAAGAACCTTTCTATAAAGGTATCTTTTTGTAGCTCTTTCTTCTGTCTTCCTGGAATCCACTTATACTTCACCTGGGGCAACTATCAGGCCAGGGTATCTTTGTAAAAATTCCTGGTGGACTGAAGAGCTTTCTATTTTTATCCCTTTCTATTTGTTCAAATTCTGAAGGTGTGAACCGTATCTACATCAGTAGTTTGGGAAATCCTAGGTTAGATCAGAAATGATGTGTCTTCCATATGGTCGGAAATAGAAGTGATATCATTCATAGCACTCTGTGATTACTCAGGGAGCTTAGGCAACAGTCTCACCCATGATATGGGCCAGAAAATAATCCATGGAATAGCTCTTTCTTTTCTCCTATCCTCACTAGAAAGATCTATCATTCACTTATTTCCTTAACATTTTTATTTTTTGTTTTGATAATTGCTCCATTCTTTCTTTTATTCTCGTATTCTTTCCCTCACTCTTTTTAAATTTACTTCTTTAATCCTCTTCTTTGAACAGTCCTGAATATTTAAAGTAGTCTAATCCTCATGCAAAACTCAGTTTGGATTTGAAAAAGTATATCCAAGTTGCCAAGAAAAAAGGCTGCTATTTTTTTGTTACCTTATTAAATCATAGAATTAGTAGATTTAAAAACAGAAAGGACATCAGACAAGTTATTGATGAGATGGGGGAGATCTCTCTCTATGGAGTAAGAAAAGTCGATGAAACCAACATTATCTTGGTAATAATTTAGAAAATGTAACAATGGACTTTTCCAGAAGAGTGTTCTTTTGGGCCTGTAAGTAAAATGTATTGCTGTAGATCCTCGAGGAGCTAGTCATAAAATAACTCTACCTTTCAGTGTTCATGTACTTATAAACAAAGGAAGGGCCACACTTTGCAGAGGTGAACATTGTTTCATTTTTGATGTTCTACCGGTGTTACTCATAGTTAGGAATAGTATTTATATAATGGGAAGTGGGCAGTGTATGGTTTTTGATGACTGCACACATGTCCATTTTGCCCATTTCTTTTGCATTATATATTTGTGCTCAAGTGGCTCTGCCATTCATCTGAACCATTGATTTGGTTCACCCACTCCATACTTCCTCTAAGATCCTTTGGAGACATTTGTGGACCAGAAGTGGAATGAGGAAGTTTCTTGTGACAAACGTGTAAAACAACTCTTTCATTTAATTTTATTCCCAGGCTGATGATACCTTCATAATCAGCCATTGGCTGAGAAATGCTGTCAGATCTTTTTGAATTAGGGCATGAAGGAGGCTAAATATATCCATGTATACCTAGTGCTTGATCTCATTTCTCTGTAAAAGTCTTACCTTCAGCCAGTTGGATGGAGGTAAAAGAAACTCTTGCTTACTTTACTGTTCTTCTGCAACATAATAGGACATGAATCGAGAGAAGATTGCTCAAGCAAGAACGTAGGAGTTGAGCTTTCTTGGAATGCTTCAAAAGAGTTGTAGAAGAGGTCAGAGCTGAAGGACAATTCCAATTTTGGGTACTCTGCAAGGGTATTTACGATGCTGAATATCTTAGATTTTCCCATCTGGGTGTACTCTCTGCCCTTTACTATCCTGCTCTGTACCCTGGGAAGCTGACCCATAAGTACCACATTAGCAGGCTCCCCTGACCTCAAGCTTCTGGATGAGTTCAGCCAGTGGGAGATCTGGCAAGAGATCAGAGGGAGGAGGATAGTGAAGTTAGGTTTCTAATTCATCCAGCCCCTCCCTGTTGGCTCACCCTAGATTGGATGCTTTCCTCAACTGAGGGCCACAGATTCTGTTAGTTGACCTTATCATCTTGCTACCTGCTAGGTTCAGGTAACAATCCTTTCCCTTTGTCCTTTTAGGTCAAGGGGTGATAGCAGCTCCTTATTCTTGCTAGCCTGCAGTATTCCAAAGTTTGGCTGGGCCAGACCTACTTTATACTTATTGTCTTGAAATAATTTATTAATAAAGCTTCCCTTTACTCTCAAAAGTGGCAGAGTTTCAGTAATAAATTGTATGATTATTGTTCATTTCCCTACTTATCTCCTTTGTAAATAGTCTCTTTACTAAACTCTCCTACAATTAGCCAGTTTGAATGTGCTATTTGTTTCCTGTGGGCCCCTGACAGATACAGTCACTTAAAGTAGTCACCAGTATGTCATTACATGAAGCCATCAGCTAACATTCCTTTTATCACCTTTTATGTCTACCTTATGACATCATGCTAGTTCTATAACTCTTGCACAGGAAACAGTGGCTCCTGATGTATAATTAAATTTTTATCTTTAGAAAAATGTTTCCTTGCTCTTGACTGTGAAAGATGAATTATAAGAAATTCTGCAATTCTTTTTTCTTTTTTTCTTTTTCCCAAATGACATCTCTTCCTAGTAATATTGCCAGCCAGGATTTGCAAAAAAGCTATGCACCTACTTGACCCTATTGTGTAATTTGCTTCACAGTTTAGCCCTCATTGTTTACATATAAAAGAGTCTTAAGAAAAGTGACCATTATGTGAGTGAGGTGGTAGCCATTAGCTCATTTCTCATGGGGTATGTTTGTGGCCCTCTCAGTATTTCCTCTGTGGTGAATCCTACTGTTACAGTAATGATCTCTGGGTTAAGCCTTCATCCCACGTATTTCCTCTCTCAAATGTAATAATCCTTCATAACCATTTTGTGTGTCTCAATCAGGTCTGCTTTCTTTCCATAAGGGCAGTCAGGGCTTCTGAGAAAGGGCTGCCTGAAAATTCCATATCACAGTGGGGCTTGTGGGAGTAAGAACAGGAAAGTGGAAAGTTGGGAAGAGGAGAAATGGAAGGCAAGGAACATGGGGTCTAAGAGTTTGGCCTGAGGCCTGTCCTCATGAGGTACTATTACCTAGAAAAGATGCTGGGATTTTAGAGCAGGGGATTAGCAAGCTACAGCCTGGAAGTTAAATTCTGCCCACCTGTCTGTTTTGTAAATAACGTTTTACTGGATGATGGAGTTTGGATGTGTTGTCCCCTCCAAAACTCATGTGGAAATTTGATCTCCAATGTGGCAGTGTTGGAAACTGACTGAGTCATGAATGAATTAATGCTCTCCCTGGGGGAGGGGTAGTGAGTGAGTTCTTGTTCTATTAGTTCCCAAGAGAGCTGATTGTTTATAGGACCCTGGCACCTCCTCTCTCTCTCTCTCTTGCTTCTTCTCGCCATGTGATCTGCTTTTACCCGCCGGCTGCCATTCTATTAGTTCCCAAGAGAGCTGATTGTT